AAAAAATAAGAATAAAAATATTTAAATACTTCAAAAGAAGGAGAAAGAAAGAAATCTAAACAGGAAGATGAGAAAGAAAATAAAGTGAGATAATGAACATACAGAGCAAATGCAAGCAAAAGGATGGAGAAAATGAACCAACCAAATGCAAAGCACACATATATTTAAGGCAAAAAGAATTACTGCTTTAAAGGAAAAGTGATGAAGGGAATTATACAATTATAAAATAATCATTGTGGCAGGAAGGTGTAACAAATCTAAACAAACAGGTACCCAATTATAAAGATACAACAATTTTACACACACACACACACACACAATCTTTGACAGTAATTTAAAAAAAAACAGACACGGGGTTGAGCAGTGTTCACATCAGTTGTTTACAGGATGACAGGCACTGTAACCTGAAGGTACTGACAACAACAATGGTAAGAAGCTGCACTGCACTCTCAAAAGCTCGAATCCACAAGCTGCTCCATGAGAGAAGGATGTTCTGTGCTATTTCCTGCCTCTGAAAACCCGCTGGATGCTCAGCTATGAGTCGGCTCCAACCTGACAGCACACAGCACAACTATCATTGTAAACCAAGTCCAGTAAATCAGAGATAATTATTAAAGCTAAGCATAGGCATAATCTATGGTATTAACTCTGTTTCTAAGACTATACCTAACAAAAATACATATATATGCTCATAAAAATGATTATATCATTAAAATGGAAACAATTCAGTAACAGGAAGCAGTCCATAGAACAGAGCAAAAAACACTGCATGGTTCAAAATCAGAAAAGGAGTGCATCAGGTTGTGTTCTGTCTCCAAACCTTTTCGATCTATATGCAGAACAGACCATTCGGGAAGCTGGGCTTCATGAGGAGGAATGTGGCATCAGGATTGGAGGAAGATTCATCATCAACTGGCATTATGTAGATGATGTAACCTTGTTTGCTAAAACTGCAGAGGACCTGAAGTGCTTGTTGTAGAAGGTCAAGGACTGTAGTCTAATATCAGGAAGACAAAGATTCTCACCGCTAGACCAACTGGCAACACCATGATAGAGGGAGAAGAGTCTGAAGTTGTTAACAAGTACAGCTTGCTTAATTCCAGTCAACACTCCTGACACTAGCAATCAAGAAGTCAGGGAGCTCTGGTGGCCTAGTGGCAAGGAGCTGCAACTACAATCCCAGAGGTGCATGGTTCGAATCCACCAGATGCTCTGCCGGGGAAGGAGGGGCAATCTCCTCCTGTACCAGTCAGATCTGATTTGACGGTACACGCACACAAAAATAATAAAATTTAAAAAAAAAGAAGTCAAAGAATGAATTGCACTAGAAAAATCTGCTGTCTGGGACCTCTCAGCAGAGAGAAGCAATGATGTCAGTCTAGAGACTAAGATGCGCCTGATTCAGGACATGGTCTTCACAATTATTTGCTATGCATCAGAGAGCTGGACAATGACTAAGGATGAATAGAAGAAGAATTAATGCCTTTGAGTTGTGGTGCTGGAGTATGTATTTAATAAGAGTATTAAATATAGCATGGACTGCTAGGAGAACAGGTTCATCCTAGAGAGGATAAAACCATGATGCTCCTTGGAGGCTAGAATTTTGAAGCTCCATTTCTTATACTTTGGGCACGTGGCCAGGAGTCTTCAGTCCTTGGAGAAGGACATCATGCTCAGAAGAGTGGGGAAACAGGGCAGGAGAGGAAGACCCTGGATGAGATGGATTGGTACAGTAACTGAGGCAATGGCGATAGGTGTGTCTGAGTCAGTAAGACTGGCTCAGGACAAGGCAGGCTTCAGAGCTGTTGTACATAGGATCGATACGAGTCGCAGGTGATGCGATGGCACATTACAATACATAGTACAAAAACAGAAATGAAAATGAATAGCTAAGAGCATGCAACAAGATGAAATCTGAAGTCTTTATGATTCTATGCACATAAATAGGTAAAAATACACTGTTAGATGTCAGAAGTTCTTCTTCTTGAAGGATAACTGACTGAAAGGCACCTGAGGAGTTTTATGGATGTTAGTGATGTTGTTTTTACTTAGATGATAGGCTAGAATGTGTCCTATCTCCATACCTTTTCAATCTATATGAGGAACTGATCATCTGGGAGGGTGGGCTCTATAAGTAGGAATGTGGCATCAAGATTAAAGGAACAATCTGTGTTATGCAGGTGACATAACATTGCTTGCTGAACTGAAGAGAGCCTGAGACATCTGCTGCAGAAGGTCAAGGACTGCAGCCTTCAATATGGACTGAAGGTCAATATCAGGAAAACAAAGATTCTCACCACTGGGAAATTGGCAGCATCTTGATAGAAACTGAAGAGACTGAGACTGCTAACAGCTTCAGTTTGCTTGGCTCCACAATCAATACTCTTGGTACCAGCAGTCAGGAAATCAAAAGATGAACTGCACTGGAAAGTCTGCTGTCAGGGACCTCTCCAGAGTACTGAAGAGAAACGGTGTCAGGTTGGAGACTAAGGTGAACCTACTCTAGGCAATGGTCTTCGTAATAACTTACTATGCATCAGAGAGGTGGACAATGACTAAGGGTGAGAGAAGGAGAATTGATGCCTTTGAACTGTGGTGCTAGAGAAAAGTCCTGAATGTATCATGGAATACTTGGAGAACAAACAGGTTCATTCGTCCTGGAGAGGGTGAAACCAGGTTGGTCCTTAGAGGCAAGGACACTGAAGCTCTGTCTGACATACTTCGGGCATGTTGAAAGGAGTGACCAGCCCTTGGAGAGAGACGCCATGCTCGGAAGGGTGGAGGGACAGCACAACAGAGGAAAACCCTCGATGAGATGGTTTGACTCGGTGACTGGGGTGGTAGGGTTTGGTGTGTCAGAGACAGTAAGGTTGTCTCAGGATAGAGCAGGATTCAGAGCTGCTGTACAAAGAGTCACTATTTGCTGCAAGTGATTCAACACCACATAACAACAACAACAAATTTTACCTAAATATGTCTAACTTGTGAAAAATTACTAACGCATACACATGTGAATGTGTATTTTTCGATATGTATATTACCAAAAAAGTGAATTATACCATCAATTACATCCTTCCCTCAATAAATATCATGAGTTCTACAACAGCATATTTTACTCTCAAGTTTTGGCCAACTAAATGGAAACTGAAAAAAACAAAACAAACAAAAAAAAACACACAACGATGAATAATCTAAGAAATTTTTAAAGAATAAATAGAAGACCATAAAATGAGAAAAAGAAGATAAAACAAGAAAAAAAGCAGCTGAGCAGAAAAAAGATAAGGATTCGGAAAGAGACTACCTGACAGACAGAGCTTAGGATCTGAAAAGGTATTTCTTTCTCCCTTTCCACAGTTATTCAAGCTGAGCAAACAACTATGCATTCTAGCCCTTTATGGAGCTCTGAACTCACTGGACTAAGATAACTATGTCAAAATAACTACAAAGATGGAATCATTACAGAGTTGAATGGAACAGTTACAGAGGATTCAAGTAATTATCACAGAATCCTAGTTGTTATAAATCACTGAAAAATGAAATTTACATGAATCCAAGTATAAGGATCAAGCATTTTTTTCTCTTTTGAGGTATTTCCAATACTATCTTTTGAAAACAGGATCTCATGTATTTCAAGAATGAAGTTCCTAGAATCAAGTTACCTCTGACAAGGTGCACATACTTCATTTAGTCTGGTTAACACACCTGCTTTCACCTTCTTTTTTGTTTTTTTGGGTTTGCATTTTTTGTCATCGTCCACGCTGTCTTCCACATCTTGTGCAACTGAGTTTACTGCATCACCTTGATGAGACTCTGAAGTTCCTGCTTCGGCCGGAGAGTCCGTCTTTAGTTCACACTCCGCTTTGTCCCGCTCAAGTTCAGAAAAGGACATGGTCCTGCAAACACAGTCCAAGTATACACCATTACAAATATTGTATAATTACATATATTGATTTTGCATGGCAAAACTAACAGTGAATACACACAAAGTTATTTTTCAAATTAACCATATTCTGCTAGGAAAATACAAGTATTTTCTTCTATGCTGAAATCATTAGTTATTATGGGTATTATTTTATACTTGGTTATGATACACATACACACACTTGTCATGGGTCAACTTAAATGGGCTCTATATCCAAGGGAAAATGGGATATTGCATAAACAATGAATGTCCTACCTTCAGATTGGATCTTTCACAGTATCCTCACCCTGCCACTAAAGTAAATGATTAATGGATAAAAAGCTGAAATATGTTGTTTAAAGGTAAAAAAGAAAGAATTCTAGGTTTTTTTGTTTCAAGAGGCTGTGTGACACTCTATTTTTAGAAGGCCATGGTTAAAATGAAACCTTGCCTTGCATGAGCTAATGGACGCAAAGGGCAGCAGCCAGAATGCACTGAGTTGCAGAACGTAACCAGTCTCAGATCATTTACTTGTCATTTATCACAAAAACAAAATAATCAAAATAGATTTCCAAGATTACTTATATTAAAAAAATATGAAAAGTCATGTGATTTTATTACAGAATCAAATTCTATTATTTAAAGAGAATAACTACCCTTCACATGATTTTTTGTGTGTAAGACACTGTTTTATTTGCAATTCATAAACTAACCTAGTTAGAGTTCATACAGTTCCCTCTTTCATCACTAGAAGGGTAGCAAACTGGAGCAAAGGTTACACTGTTTTTTTGGTTGTTGTGTGTCACTGAGCTGGGAATCACTCATAGCTGAGCCCCCAGCAGTTTGTCAGAAGCAGTTAATCACATGTGAGGACACTGTCCATCCATCTCCAACAGAGCAGCTGGTGGATTCAAACCATGTACTTTTGGTATTGCAGCACAGGTTCTTACCACTGGGCCCCAGCTCGCTAGGGTTACAATGTGTTGCTATGAACCATCGAGTCAGAACTCACCCATGGCTGACCCGAATGGATTTTCAGAGGCATTAAGTTGCACAAGTGGGGACTGCCCATTTAACTCCCCCCAAGCAGCTGGTGGGTTTGAACCATGTGCCTTTAGGATGCCAGCACAGCTTCTTACCACTAGGCTGTAAGAGCCACAGGATTAAACTGTAGTAAGCAGAAATTAGCCTTCGTGGTACAGTGATTAAAGTGTTCAGCTGCTGAACAAAAGACTGGCAGTTTAAACCCAACCAGGTGAGAGATGGGAGAAAGACGTGACAGACTTTTTCTGTAAAGATTTAGAGCTTTGGAAATACTACAGGGTAGTTCTACTCCATCCCAGAGTTACTAAGATAGTGAGATAATACAAGTTTGTTGCTTTGAGCTGCTAAATTTTGTAGTAATTTTTTTTAATTCAGCAATAGCTAGCTAGTACATACACTAACATGTCCTTGCAGCAACCCTTTTTGCCTCTGTTACCTAAGAGTTATGTCACTTTCCTAAGAGGTTTCTTGGGATTTGGCTTTTGCTTTTGTTTTGTTTTTTCAATTTGGAACTGTAGGAAAATTGTCCCTAAAAGCAAAGGAACACATATATATGTTGCCACCTGAAGACATTTCTCTAAAAAGAGGTTGTAGGGAGGAAAATTAAATATGGTAATTAAAAGTAGTATTTATTTCCCTCAAATATAGAAAAAATACCTATGAATAGACTCACTGACAACGAGAAGATCTAATTGCTAATTGTGATACTCTTTGGATGGTTAAATTATGGGCATTTTTAGTTATTTCTTTGTGCTTATCTGTTCTATACTTAACAAATATTACTTTCATGATGGTGGTATGGAGCTAGAACTTTGAAAAATGGCTTTTCTATCCACTGTATTAACCTTGCTGGGGCATGGTCTTCAGTGACCTCAACTGCAGACACACAGTTTTACAAATCATCAACAGCTGAAGGATCAACATAAAAGAGAGTGCATTTTACACCATGGAGAGAATGTGAAGGATGTGTGAAGAGACTGTGGCAATGTGTAGCCTGAGAGAATGCTGGAGATAGAGCCAAAGTTAAGAGTTTTACTTCTGGATGAATGAATGAAGAGCTAACTTATGACTATTAGGAGACAAAGCTTGCTGAACAATTGATGAAACTAGAGATTTATTTGTGCTACTGAACTGAACCTAGGCTTCTACTTGTTGTTTGAGAAGTTGTCTGAACTAATTGAAGAATTGTGTCTTGAGGTTAAGTCTGTCTTGAGCTGCTGTTCACTAAACCTGGACTTTCACTATGTGATATCCTTTGTCTCCAATGCCCAATCTATTTCCCAAATAAACCCCACAACTGTGATTAAAGTCTAGGAGTCATTTTGCAACAAACACTGGACCGAAGGATTCACAGAAATAGGACAAGAGCATTGGTAGTGGCATGTCTGACTATGTAACTACTTGTCTGGCACTATGGATGTTATTGATGGGGACAGTTCCCCTTTACAAAGCAGGTATAAGTCAGACTCAGCCTACTCCATGTTACCATTGCTCCTTTTATGGGGGGGATGTTATCAATTTAAAGCCAACTAGGAAAGGAATGCAGAAACGCTGTTATGTTAGCTGCTATTCTTGTACTAGCAATGGCTTCAAATAAAAAACTAAGATTTCTAGCCTTAAATTTCATATCACTCAAGAGTTCAGCATACTACTCAGTGTTTCTGTAAGAGTGCATGTCCTTTAGAGTAGTGAGAGAAGACATTCACCCTGAAACCCACAGCGTCCCTTTTCAGCAGCAAGTAGCTAAGAGAATACGCCATCCCCTTTTCCTTATGAATCAGGGTGAAGTCTCTCTCAGGGAGGAGTGATAGGGAATGGCAAGGGATACACTGACAAAGGAGATTAATCAGAACTGGCTTTGACAAGCACTGTGGCAACTGGACAATTAAAACAGACATTCGGATGGCGGGGAAGAAGAATGAACTGGGGAGGAGGGTGGAGAAAACAGTGCAACAATGAATGAATGAAAACCCAAAATCTCTGTAAATGTTCATTAAAACTAATAAAATTTAATAATAAATAAAAAAATTAAAAAAAGAATATAAAATAAAATACCTTGTTTCGGCTTGAGATGGGGTGGAATGAGATGATATTTTCTTTTTTTTCTTTTTCTTTTTCTCACTGCTCAACTTGTCATCATGTAAAGTATCTGAGGAAAAGTAAGTCAATTGTTCCTTCAGTTTCTTTCTTATTTTCTTTTTAATTTCCCGTGCCATTTCTTCAGCTACTTGCAGCTGATATACTTGCATCAGCTCATCTTCCTCATCTAACTCACTATTTTCTTTTCCTTCACTTGCCAGGTCACTTTTCCGAAGAGCGACACCCAACTGTGACTTTGTTCGTGTTTTCTGATAAACAGAATCCACCTTCCTCTCAGAAGGTTCCTGTTCCATTTCTTCTGAAGTCACGTGGGCCACTGCTTTTGTAGTCTTTTTACTTGATTTTCTCTGCTTTTCTTCCTCCATACCATCATCATCATTTGGACTGTCAATTGATTGGGCATGCCTCAGTTTGTTTTTAGTGACTCGCATGGTTTTCTCAGGGTTAGCAGTGTTAGAAACACTTATATCGTCATCACTTTTCGTGTCTTTTATATTTTGAAGACTGCTTCTAAAGCCTTCATCCTAAGAAAAGAAAACAAAACAAGAAAGTTTCAGCCAAACCTGGTTTAAATATATAAAAATAACAAGTAGCTTAAGAACAGCAAAAATGTTCAAAACACTGAAAATATAATCATTTTACTTGACTATTAGAATAACATTCTAAAGAATCTAATGGATATTCACTTACTTTCATCTTTCCATCATAAAATTTATAGTCTCTGAAAGTAATTCAGATCAAATTATTCCATGAATAAATAGGCCAGAAAGGATATGATTTTTCAGGGAGAAATTAACTGCTAGAGTCTAAAATGTTATTTTTCCTTATTGACAAAATTATCCATATCCTAATTTAGAATTATTTGAGAACTTGGCTAAAAACTGCTCCTCCATTTAGTAATATGGTACTTCAGATTTCCTAGTAGAAAGGATGGGCAATTACATTTTAAAACCAAATGTCTACAGTTCTAAGATTACTCTGAAATAAGTTCAGAAGTAAAGGTAGATTTTTTTAATAAATACAGCTAAATATTAAATTTAAGTTAAATCAAATGACTAAACACACAATTATTTAAGATGAGAGATGTTTTTCAAAGAGAAAAAATATCAACAAAGGGAGGAAAATCGAGAAAGAATGATCCTAACAGTAAAAACAAGTACTTTAATAAATTAATCAAGGGGATAAATAGGCAGAACCTGATCTATAAAGAAACTAACACAGAAAATGAGAGCCTGTGAGGAAAGATATCAAGAGATAAAGGATATTCTGAAGGAACAGAAAAAATAAGGACTGAAAGATTTTAAAAACGGCACCTGATTCTTGTAGTAATGTTTTGTAATTTTCTTGGAAAAGGTCCTTTGTACTTCTGGTTAAATTTATTCCCAAGTATTTAATTTTGTGATTAGCTATTGTGATAGGTAT